ATTTTTTTAACACTAAAATTTTTAATTTATTTTAGTAAATAATATTTCAAAAACTTATTTTTGAAAAAAAAAATGTTATTATTAATATAAATTTACCTAAAAAAAAGTTAATCAAGTCACTGAAACAAGCCAGCACTTGAGTTGCGTTTTAGCAGTAGGCCTTAATGAAAATTTGTAAGCCTTTTCTATGACCCAAGCAATTATAACCGTGTTTCATGCCAAAATAAAAAATTTTGTGTTTCGAAAATTGTAAAAATGTTGGAAATAAATATTTTGTTCTTAAACGTCTTAGTATTTGCTCTTTTCTGGTAATAGTTCTCCTTGGTCAAAAACTAAAAATATTTTTCTATATGCCATAGCGAAAACAATACTAAAAATTTTCAAAATAATCTAGTGTGTTTGGTTTTGTTTTTCAAATCAATTTTTATTGTTGGATGAACCCATTGGGTTTTTTTTTAAAAGAATAAAAATTAAAAGACCTTTTATCCTTTCTCAACAAAAAAATAAACACTTTTGCATGAGAATTGTAACGAGAGAGGTGTTACAGTGCCCAAATTTAAACTTACACTAGAAAAAGAGATTCAAACTCGTGCAAGTATAGTTTATTCTTCATTCTTAGATCTATTAAATACCTTATTTAGTATCAGTTTGCATGAGTTATTTTTCAACAATTTTCTATTTTTAACTATTTTTTACATACCTGTTTGTATTATTACTTCTTTCATTACTTTTTTTTTTAAAATTTTACTTAAAAATAATCAAAAGTATAAGTACCTAAATTTTATATTTCTTATACCTAATAGTATATTGTAAATAATTAAAATTTTTGTTAGACAAATATATCATAATATTCTTATTATAATCTTATTTTTACCCTTATTAAATCAATAAAAATATTATTGTATAGTTATTTATTTTAATTAAATTAGAATTTAAAAAATAAGTAAAATTATATTTTTAAATTGAAAGAAAAATTATATTAAAAGGAAGAATGTTAAGAATTGAATTTTAAAATTTATTAATAATTTATATAAAGAATAAATTGTTTAATTTTTAATTTTAATAATTTGAAAATTATATTTACAATTTAAGAAAATATATTTTATGGTCATTATATATATATAACTTTTTTAAAAAATAGGTAATTTAGGCATTTTAATATAATAATCAATTATTATAATTATTTATTTAAATATTAATTTATTAACTTTTACTATTTTTTAAATAGAATTTGTAAACGTACTTAACTTTTATATTTTCAACATTTTTAAACGATATTATTTTTCATATTTCTTTAAAAGTAGTAACTCACGCCGCAAACTCTTACTTAAATCTATACTCGTAAATTTGAACCTATATCTACTTAAAAATAATTTAATAATTTTAAATAATAAATATCTAAAATAAAAAATACAAGTAATAAACATGTATATTAAAAAATCTTAAATTTTATAATATATATATATATAATTGATATACCCGGACTCAACCTGTACAAATATCCACGTAATTATATGCAAATCCCTTCAGTGGTATTCGGATTCTGACCCCATCCAAGAATTCTTCTGGATACAAGCGAATTCGGGTCCAATTGCCTCCAGTCTTGCGTATTTGTCATGAAGTAACCGGTATGGCAGCAAATGATACCAAGCCAGAAAACTCGTTCACTCACCAAAAACACGAATTTGGCAGCAAAAAATCATGGTTAGACAGATTGCTTTTCTTATACTCTCCTGCCGTTAGAAACCCTCTCCTCTTTTGGCGGGACGCGGGTCCCCAACCATCATCTTCCTCTCTGCACCAGTCTCTTTCTCATAAATACCCCCCAACTCCCCTCCATTTACAACACCAACACCACAAGCTCCACTCTCTCCACTCTCCACTCTCCACTTTCCACGACCGTCAACCCCTCGACAGCCGTGCCCCGTTGCCCCTCACCTCCGGCAACTCAGAAACGCAATACCCACCACTAAAATGTTCAAATTTGCAGTACCGATGTTTCTCTTTCTAGGCTTCACATTCTCTCTCTCCCCGGACGGTCTCTCCCTACTCTCTCTGAAATCCGCAGTCGAGGGCGGCGCCGACGCGTTCCGCGACTGGGACGAAACCACCGCCACACCATGCGAATGGAGCGGGATCACCTGCGCCAACGTCTCTGGCGACCCTCGGGTTGTCGGGGTCTCCGTCTCCGGGTGGAATCTCCGGGGCTACATCCCGTCGGAGCTGGGGTCACTGTTCTACCTCCGGCGGCTCAACCTCCAAGGCAACCGCTTCTATGGGTTAATACCTGACCAGCTCTTCAACGCTTCTTCACTCCATTCTCTCATTCTATACGGCAACAACCTCTCGGGTCCTCTCCCTTCCTCCATATGTAACCCGACCGGATACAGAACCTGGACTTATCAAACAACTCCATTTCGGATCGGATCCCAGAAAATTTCCGAAACTGCCGGGAACTGCAAAGGCTGAATCTCGCCGAAAACAGGCTTTCCGGCGAAATCCCTGCCGGAATATTCTCGGAGCTATCGAATTTAGTCCAGCTTGATCTTTCCTCGAACAATTTCACCGGATTAGTCCCTGAAGATATTGGCCAGTTGAAGTCTCTGTCTGGGGTTTTAAACCTCTCTTTCAATCATTTTTCTGGGAACATTCCTAATTCCATGGGTAATCTGCCGATGACGGTCAGTTTCGATCTCCGACACAACAATTTCAGCGGCGAAATTCCCCAGATGGGTTCTTTTTCGAATCAGGGTCCGAAGGCGTTTATGGACAACCCATTGCTCTGCGGCTTTCCCCTGCAAAAACCCTGCGGCGACAACTCGAGAACTACTCCATCGACCGAAAATTCCTCGCCGGCAACTGGAAACTCGGGTATGCGAAAAGGTTTGAAGCCAGGTCTGATTATATTGATCTCGGTGGGCGACGCAATTGTAGTCTCGTTCGTCGGCTTAATCGTTGTCTACCTCTACTGGAAGAAGAAGGATTCCCACGGTTGCAGCTGCACAGGTACGGCGGTAATTCATGTGACGTAAAGCTGTCAGGTTTTACTTGTTATTTAAAAACAATAAATATTAGAAGTTAAATTGTTATAAAAACTTATAACTCTAATCAAATCTGTATGTCCCGTTGTTGCCGCAGGCAAGGGAAAATTCGGTGGGAACGAGAAGCCTAAGCTCTGTCTCTGTCCCTGCATCAACGTGTTTTCGAGCAATGACTCAGAGGCGAACTCCGAGAATGGTGGCTCCGGCGGTGGCGGGGGCGCCAGTGCCGGCGAGGGGGACCTGGTGGCGATCGACAAGGGGTTCAACTACGAGCTGGACGAGCTGCTGAGAGCGTCGGCCTATGTGTTGGGAAAGAGCGGGCTGGGGATCGTGTACAAGGTGGTGCTCGGCGGCGGAGTCCCAGTGGCCATCCGGCGGCTGGGAGAGGGCGGCGATGAGCAGATGCACAAGGAGTTCGCGGCGGAAATGCAGGCGATTGGGAAGGTGAAGCACCCAAACATTGTGAGGTTGAGAGCTTATTATTGGGCGCCCGATGAGAAGCTTTTGATCAGTGATTTCATCTCGGGTGGCAACTTGGCTTCTGCTCTAAGAGGTACAAGCTCCTTTCTCGTCTAACTTCCGACAAGAGAAAGGCCGGAGAGATGTTCTATTTAACCGGAGAAGTGGGTTTATTTATTTATATTTATTTTTGGTTTAAAAAAGAAAAAAAAAAACATTGGGTTGGCAGTGTGTGTCTCTGTGTGTGTTTGTGTGTGTGTTTTTGATTTTTGAATTTAATTTTCATTAATTTTGGAATTTTTTTTGAAACAAAAAGCTCTTGAAACTCTAGCTTTTTCATATTAGTTTTAATTTCTGCTGATAATAATTTTTGAAAATTCTGCAAAAATTAAAGATTTTTTTAACTAAAATTTATCAGTCTTTTTCAGAAAATAATTATTCCAAATATAATTTTGGAGGATAATATGTCAAAAAAAATTTTGGATTGATTTTTTATTAAGCAAAAAACAATTGCAAGAAAATATCTTTTTGAAGATTATTTGAAAAATAGTTTTTGAAAGCAAGATGTCAAGCTGATCTTTTGGTATTTAATTTCAGTTTTTTCATGGCTCTCATGAATAAATAGAATAACTTCTATCTTTATTTATTTATCTTTTATTGCTAATCAAATAATTAAATTTCCATTATGAGTTTTTTATGATGGTCAATTCAATTAATTAGAAAGTAATGAGTTCAAGGGTTTTAGATTTTAAAATTAAATAATTTAATTAAATTTATATTTTTATAAAATATTTTTACATAATTTAATTTAATTTTTTACAAAAACCTTTTTGATTTTTTTTTTTTTTAAATCTCAAATCTTACTCCATTGATAATTGTATTGAATCATAGCAGTACTCTCAAACCTCAATCATGGTCTCAAGAAACTAATCTAATTTACAGGGAGACCCGGCCGCGCACCTTCCGCCCCACTCTCCTGGTCCAGTAGGCTCAAGATCGCAAAGGGCACAGCCAAGGGCTTGGCCTACCTCCATGAATGTAGCCCCCGGAAGTTCGTGCACGGGGACATCAAGCCGTCCAATATCCTCCTCGACAACGAATTCAATCCCTACATTTCCGATTTTGGCCTAAACCGCCTTATCGCCATCACCGGAAACAACCCCTCCTCCTCCGGGGGCTTAATCGGCGGGGCCCTCCCCTACCACAAGCCAGCCCAGTCCGATCGGCCCAACAACTACCGGGCCCCAGAGGCCCGGGCCCAAGGATCCCGGCCCACCCAGAAATGGGATGTGTACTCATTCGGAGTGGTCTTGCTGGAATTGCTGACGGGGAAGTCCCCGGAGTTCTCCGCTCCCGCCACGTCGACTTCCTTGGAAGTGCCGGACATGGTGAGGTGGGTGAGGAAAGGTTTTGAGGAGAAGAAGACAGTTTTAGCCATGGTTGACCCGGTTTTGGTTGAAGAAGTACAACCTAATGTCAAGGAGGTGGCAGCCGTGTTTCACGTCGCCCTGGCTTGCACCGAGGGGGATTCCGAAGTTAGGCCCAGGATGAAGACTGTCTCAGAAAATCTTGAAAGGATTAAGACATAACAGGTGCTTTTTGTTGTGCAGAAATCTTTGATCATTGCAATTTTGTGGAAGCATTTTGTTAGGGGAATAGTTGGTTTTTGTAATTTGTAGTACTAATAACTACCACTTCTTTCCTCGGGATTGCCTCTGTAATAATCTGTACTCACCTCCCTTGAGATTCCCATTTTGCAGCTGATGAGAATTTATGCCTCAGACCAACATTTGTTGAAATGCAAAATACACAGTTCCCCACTTCGCCCATAAGTTGTTGATCCTCACTCCTATCTCTGATCTTCATTCCAAACGGATTTTGAATCATCCTTATTTTTTCTTTTGATAATTTCCAAGCCTGTGGAGATTTTCTATCATACAAGTCATCAAGTCAATTTTCTATAAGCTAAATCCAAGAAGTAGGATTTTATATTGGTGTTATACATATTTTTATTTACTAAAATATGTATTTTAAAAATTATTTATTAAAATATGCACTTCAGATTGTTATTAAAAAATTGGTTAGCAACGACCTGATTTTATTTAAGATGTTGGCCAGGCAACTTCTATTGAGAAGTTAGTTTGCAAAAAATCAACTTCCTATTAAAGCCGACTAGGTATAGTCCGATTAACTAGAGGCTGAAGGAAAAAGCAAGGCCAAGGGGTGGAGGCAGGTGGTGCTGAAGGTGGAGGAAGAAGACGGGTAGAGGATTGGTCTAGATCTCAGTCTGGATCTGCACTATGTCCATGCCAAAGAAGTTCATAGGAGGAGGATGAAACTCGAGGGAAGACTTCTTCTTGCCCCAATTCCTTCCATGCCTCGTCCTCCTCATGGTCAACCACGTCATCTAGGTTCAGTGATGTGAACCCTTTATTGCCCTCCATCAAAAAGTTAAAAGACTTTGCCGACGAGAATAGGAGCAATAAGTAGGAGGACACGAGGAAGAGACTTTGGTTTTTCTTGATTGGACATGCAATGTTGCTACTCTATGTTGATCACATATCTCAACTCTGTTGAACTGAGGCGTAGCATCCACATGGGTTGATCCCGTGGCCCTCGCATAGCTATGCCTCAATGTCATGTACCCTCACTTTTTTTCCCCTGTACCCAATCGAGACAACAAATGAACTATATTTGATGCAGTAGATCCCCATGTTGTGGATCCTCTTCCTTCTCCCTCTGCACTCTGCCTCTACTCGCCTCTGTCTCTGCCTCCACCATTGCCCCCGCCCCTACTTGTCTTCACCTCCACCCTTACTTGGCCACCACTCAGGCTCCTCTCCTATCTTCTCCCTTTTCCTCCGGTGTTGGCCACCTCGGCCCCTCTACATTGTTTTCTCCTTTCGATCACTAGTTGGTCGAGCAACTAACTTTTCATAGGAATTCATTCAAAAATTGGTTTTGTAATAACTAATTTCCCAAGTAAGTTGATCTTTTTCTAAGCAGTTTCAATAGGAAGTTAATTTTTCAAAATTGACTTCTATTGAGAAGTTGGAAAAGCATATTTTTGTAAATAATATTTAAAATGCACATTTTAGTAAATAAAATATATATATGTGCACCATATTAATATAAAAAGGTCCCAAAAAATATGCCTCCTATTTATTAGTAAATAAATAACAAAAAGTAGTTTAACATTCAAAAAAATTACCAAATCACACTTTCCATGGATTAAAGTGAAAATAGAGATCCAAACAAATAAATTTGATACTAAGTTTACACCCACTAAGCCAATACACTTAACATTTATTAGATGTATAAAAAATTGATATATTCAAAAATTGTTTAATATGTTGTTCCATGTATATTCAACATCAATTAAACCATCAAAATAAGATTCTAATTAATGTCTTTACTCCCATTTACCATTTGTATCCTCTTCTTAACAGGTTTCTTTACTCGTAAGTGCTACACTCGCTAGATGACCTACATGTACAAGGATCTAATTTAGCGTTTCCCAAATGTACAAGTTATCAACATCAACCAAACCTTTCTTTGTTCGTAGGTGCTACACTCGCTAGGTGGCCTACATGTACAAGGATCTAATTTAGCGTTTTCCAAATGTTCAAGTTCTCAACGTCAACCAAACCTCCCAACGAAGCATGATTTCTATAACTTTTAAATTTATATCCTATGCTTAACATAACATATTTTTATAATTATTAGATTTCTTTTCATTCTAAACCCCCAAAAAGGAAATTTTATTTTTACATTTATTAAAAAATAAAGAAATAAAATAAGCGAATGTATATACTTATTTTTAGCATAGCTTTGAAATAAATATTTACAAACTCCATATTTTAATTTCAAATTTTATTTGCGTTGCATGATTGTGAAATTTATGATATATTACGAATAATGTAATTATATAATTCTATCTATAATATCTGATAAGAATTGGTAAAGATATTTTATTGTAAACTCATCTTATTTTTCATTTTTGAACTTCATCGTATTTTTCAATAGTCGTTAATTTGTTGATTACTTTGGAAGGAAGGGTTTCAACCCAGAAAAAAAAAAAGAAAGAAAAAGAAAGAAAAGAAAGAAAAGAAAGGGGAAAGGAGGCCTTGTTCCCATTTTCTTCCCCGCTTTCTCCCGTTTTGGCCAGATCGACTTTCGAGTATTTGGCTAGTGGCTGCGACCTCTATTGATCGTAGGTGAATTTTGCCTCTCTACGCATACTGAATGTTGTATAAGCTGCTTATGGTCTAATGCGATTGTTCATTATTTTTTTTTTCTTTCTCGAGTTTGCGTTCACATCGGTAGTTAGCGAAGAGTTTGATTGCTAGTTTAGCACTTTTGCTGTCACGATTTAGGGTTAATACCAGGGATCTTTGGACGCGAGATCCAACTATCTTCCCAATTCACAGAGCAAAAGTCTATAATTTCTCTTTTTGGCTGGGAAGATTAGTAGAAATGTCATTGGAGAAGCATAATATTATGGTTTTGGTAGTGATTAGAACAGTAATAGATGGTCGGTCATTGAGTTATCCGCTCCATTTCTTTATCACAAGGTCCGAATTCTCTATGCTGCTATTGAATTTGGAGAGCGGATTCAGTTTTCGACTGAGGGCTCGTTTTACTTGGCATATGTTCTCTGTGTATCCATTACCATGATCAATGTTGGTAATCTGACGACTGAAGTGGGTCAGCTAGAAAATCCTAGAATTTATTGTTCATTCAGGTACAATTCTGAATGTTATGCATTCTGGTTCGGTCGTTTGGATATGGCATTGAAATAAAATTGATAAACCTTTTCAAAGTTTTAGACATATATGAGTTGTACTTGACGTTGTGCTTTTACCTAGTTTTATTTATTTTTTGTTCCTAGGGCCAATTTATATATGTGTAAGCAGCCCCTGATATTCCTTTAATTAGTTATGAAAAAAAGGCTTCTTGCATTTGTGTTTCTATTTTTTCTTAGTGGCTATGATAGATACTTGGGATAAATTAGAAGAAACCACAAAATGCTTAAAGTTCCTCGTCAGTATATTTCCTTTAGGTTGATAGCATGTAAATAGGCTCTATCAGTTTCATGTGAAAGTTTCAATTGTATGCTCCTTGATAATTTTCTTTAATCATGAATTGCCGAACGGCTGATATAACACCTTGTTCACAAGTGCCGTCAAATCTATTGTTTCTGACTCTTCTCTTCCCGCATGCTAATTAAATATTATACCTTTTATGAAACTCAAATGTGTGTTTGAATCTACTATGGAGACTTTTGATGTGTTTGTATTTTCCATAGTCTTGACTCTTGATTCACAATGTGTAAAGTTTGGTTTTTAAACATTTTCGGGACAGAGAAATATAGTTACCAACGAACCATAGTCAGGGCACATTGGATTTATGTGGATGGTAATAGGACATATGTTGTAATAATAGAATCTAGGATGGCCATATACTTTCTGATGTTTGGAAGTATTAAATGCTGGAAACTTACAAGAGGCAATTTTCAGCACCATGTATTTGTTGCAGCATAGTTGGAACTGGCTGTATACAGAATTGAAGGCTGGCCAAAAGAAACTAGGAGATTATTTGACTAATTTTATTTTGCAACTTAAGCAATTAACCTCGGGATCTGTTATTATTATTATTATTATTTTAAGTTTTTACTATAGCAAGTTGAAAATCTATAACTTTTTGTTTTCAAATTTCCCTTTAAAAGATTCTTATTCATATCCTTTCTTCTACATTGTGCATCTGGAATTCCGTAGTTTAATATTACTGCTCATAAAGTGGATAGCTTATGTTCTGTGTCCTTTATATTGCTGGCTCTGTATTGGCAAATTCACCCCTTTATGTTAAGTAATTTTAGTGGCTAATGGTGTCCGTGTGATCCGTGCTATGAATCAGCCCACTAAAATACCAATTACTTGGTTTTTGACAGTTATGCAATGCTTTATGTGCTGCGCTTTGGGTTTGTTGTCTACATATTATGTTTTTTACTAATTGTCCATGAATTGATATTCAACTCACCAAAGCTTTGCTTCGAAATTAAGTTCTTACTTTTTCCAGTTGATTAAGTGACAATGGGTTAAGTGATAAATAGTCCTCAATTGTTCTAGCATATAATTTGAAGTAGATATAGAAATCTGCATGTATTTTGTCTATGCCAACTTCCGGAAGAATCCAAGACATAATGTTATATTTAATGGGGTATTTTGGATATAATTATTGTTTTCCTTTGTTTGGTTTGCAGGAGGGAAAGGAGGAAAAGAAAGCAAATCAAAGGAGCAAACAAGAGAGAAAACTCCAAGAAGCAATTGAATATGGTATTACCTGTTTTAATGAAAATCTGAGAAATGTCTTGTCAGTCTTGTTGATATAACACATTCTGAGATTTTGGTTGTTTTTGTTGGATTTCCAGTCAGCTCTCTTCAATTTTCATTCATTTCTTACGGTAGTGCTGTTAGGGATCTGTACCTGCACTTATTTGAAGATGCAATTTCCAGCACTTCTTGAGCAAAAAACTGGGTACGTGATATTTTCTAATAAATGTGCTTATGTTTGAGTTAGGTTCTAGTCATCTGATGAGCAATTTTTTATTTCTTTTTCTAGAAAATTTTCCAAGTTATTTAATTACACCATCCAAGGATATAGCTGTGTCTGCAGCTGATTGATTTTATACCTGCTCCAATTTATGATATATTTTTTGTGTAACTGTTCAGCATATATCTTTAGTAACTGCCACTGCTTAATGCTCAGTTGTTATGTAAGCTTCCATTTTATCTTTGCTTCTCAGAACACCTTTTGGTAATTGTTGTTGCATTTGTAACCTTGATTTTTATATTGAGTATGTACATCTTGCAGGTTTCGAGGGTTTTTTTTGGAAGGCTGCTAGAATAGGTAGGCCTTGTTTTACTGCATGCTGCCAGAATATGTGGGCTTTGCTTTTTAATTTTGTTCATTTCTAGAATTGCCCTGTATTAATCAACTAGTCAATTATCTGTTTGTTGGCATACTATACTAGTTTGTTTGTTTGATATGTTTAAGATTTAAATGTTTTACCTTATATTTTGGTGAGGCAGGTGAGCGATTGAGCCCCTGGGTAGCTGTTGGATGCTTCACTATGGGTGTGTCAGTCATTTTCTTCTAGTGAGCAAACCTCTTTATGAACAATTCAAGTAAGATCTGACATCATCTGGATCACCCATTGGAATTTTGTTTCATCAAATGGATTTTGTTGGGTGATTACAACTCTGTTGACTTTGTTACCTTCAATCTCAAGCAAATTTATTCTGCTGGCACCGTTTGTAGAATTCAATTTGAGCATGTCTTACCTCTGGTTGTGATGGTTACTGAATATGTTTCCGATTTTTATTATACAAACTTATTGGGTAGCTACAACTGCAAACTTTTTGCAGATTTTATCTTTTCTAGAGCTGATTTGCACTTTATGCATGTATTACATTGTAAACCACTTTGTGCTGAATTGCATAGGAATATCAGATATTTAGCTAGAACTCAGCCATTTCTCTAACTTTTTATGGTTTTGTTTTCCTTCTTTAGATGGCATCAGACCTTTTTTTTCCTTCTTCTTCCTTCTATTTTTCTTTTTTTTTTTTTTTTGCCCTAAAGGTTTTGCTTTTGCATATTAGGACTTCTTAAGTTAAATTAACTGACTGGCAAAACCTGAAGAGCTAATTCGATAAAAAAAAGCTCTAAAAAATCCTACTTCTTATGGAATCAAATGAATAAATAAGGAGCCTGTTCTGTCAAATAACAGTAGGATAATGGAAATGGTGTGTTTCCTAATTGCTTAAGTGAAGCCTTTGTGTTCCAGTATTACAAGTCAATCATATTAATATAGAACAGGACGCTCATCGACATAGATATACATGATGAGCAATTGGGAGAGGAACCATGACAAGTATAAGGAGTTTAAGAGAACTGAAAAACAGAAGAAAGATGCTAAGAAGAAATTAAGGCAGCTGGAGGTTTGAAGCCAACAGGAAGACAAGCAACGATGTAAAATGCAATCTTCTGCTTGTATCTCCTTAATACCAGTATCCTTCCTTCGCCCCAGTGTAAAATTGGTATTATCATCTTCTTTATTGGCTTCTCACGACTTCCTTTATTGACTCTGACAGCTTCTTCCTTGTGTTTTTCTTCTTTTTCTCCACTTCGAAGAGGATAGCTTCTCAAGAATGCCCTCCTGTTGTTGTAGTCTTCGTAGCGAAAGCTCCTTGACTTGCTTTCCTCCATGCCTTTCCGAATTGTTAACAGTGTTCTGGTTCTGTGACTTTCCAGGAAGACTTATAAATAGTATTATACCAGATAAGCGGCCTTTGATGATAGTAGAGGGAGGGAGGGAGAGAGGGAGGGGGGGGGGGGGGGACCGATTCTAATCTAATTTAATAAAGAAAAGAAAGATAATTGTTGAATGATCATAATAAGGATGGTATCCTTAGTAATTTTCATTCCAGAGTTACTTAACAGGCACGCTGGCGGTCAAACGTAGTTATTCTTCTGGTTACTCTGATAATGATTTGTCCTGCAAAAGTGCCACCAATCTAGCATGCCTAATAATTTTGGTAATTAATTAGGCACATTTTACGTAAAATTTTGATTGGAATGTGAAGTGCTGTTCTTTTATCGCCTAAAAAACACATGTTTTAAAACAGAAGTCTGCATTTGAGTTAGATATTTTAGGAAAAATTGAAATATTATCTTTTTGGTATCTATTGCACTTGTTAAAAACATGTATTTTTTAAATTACGCTTTTTTATATATTATTTTTTAGACAAAAATTTATATGAAAAAATTAGTATTTTGGAAATTCATATAAATAAAAGAATAAATTAAAAACTAATATAAGAACTAAACGAAAAAAATTAAAATATGAATGACTAATATATATATATATATATGTATGTGTGTGTGTGCACGTTTATACGAGAGAATAAGAGAAAGAAAATAATATATTTTTTTAATAATAGAAGTAAAGTTAGTACTTTTGAAATTGAGTACTGTTCTAAAGTTGTGTTTAGTTTTAAAAGTATATACTTTACTTTTTGAAGTATGTGTTTATAAAGTATAGTTCGAAAGTACAATACTTTTGAAATTTTAGTTTTAAAAACCAAAGTACATGTCTCTAAAAAATAATGACTCCGATGTGTTTTTAATTTCTCTATAATGTTCCTTGATGTTTTGAGGCTTTGTAGAGGGAAAAGGAAAGGGAAAAAATTACAAAACATTACCCTCTGTTTAGTCTTTTTCTTGATTTTTTTTTCGTTCTTGAAAATATAATACAAATTATTTGGCTTATTGTTTTGAAAAATATTTTTTGAAAATAGGGTTAAGAAATTTGGAGATGTTGGAGAACAACAAAATGCTATCAAAAATAATATTTATTTTCCAAATTCATTAACATTAGAAGATGCACCACCTCTGCTCTCCGCTATTTCCACTCCTTTCTGATCATCGTAGCTTTCTTTTGACCCCCATCACTACCCCTCTTATGATGGCTGCCATCTCTCTCTAGCCCTTACATCTGCCTTTCTTTAGCCATCGTTGCCTCTCTTTCTCCTCCACTCTTACTTCTTTCTGGTCGTTCTCCCTCTCATACAGCCGTAGTTTGATCACCATTCCTCTTACCCTCCAATTGCCACCCCTCTTTGACCCTTTCCTACCACCATCGCCACCCTGCGACCACTATTATCACCCTACTATTATCATGCTTCAACCACCACCGTAAGCGCCTTTTGTTTTCCTACTATGATAAAAAAACGGATAAGTATTTTCTATTTCAAAAACTATTGTCAAGAAGAATTCACATAAATTGTTTCTAACAGCAGTTCTCAAAAATTATTCTTAAAAAGAATTCTTAGAAATTGTTTTTAAAAACAGTGTTTGAAAACTGTTTTGCAGAACAGAAAACAAAAAGTAATATACAAATGGAGCCTAGTTTCTTCAATTTTGACACCTGCCATCTAAAATTAAAAAGAAGAAAACAGCTTTTGTATTTTTAATGATTTCCTTAACTTCAAAAATTCCGTTAAAACAACCAAGAATGAATGAAATAAAAATGAAAAACAGAAACAATACAAAGAAGAAGAAGAATACAACGGTGAATGGATTGCCGTTGAGGGACATCACAGCAAGACATTCATATCAGCGGCCTAAAATTTCTTGGTTTCCTGAAGTGATGGCAGAGATCCAGGCGAACAACGACACGGAAAGGGATTGACAACGAATGGGACCATTTTAACGCCTAGCAATCAGCCAGACTTAGCAGTTAGCATGGACAAATGGTCAAACCCGAGCTGAAGATTTCAAGTTAATTAGCATCATGAAACGTGCAAGTTTGGCTGGTTGGAATTTACATTTCACAGGGTTATATATCATCCAGAAAGAAACTCTCTTACGCATGTCCCTTCTGATGGATCACTCAATCATTAAATCAATAAAATCATATTTGTTTTGGAAAATGGTTTCTGTTCATGGAAACAAAAAACCCATTTGGTGAGTTATTTTTAAAAAAACTGCTTTAGGGAGAATTTCTGGAAAAACATTCCCATTTGTAAAAGAGATTTGTTTTCTCAATTCTTGCAGATTCAACTAAAAATGAAAACTATAAGAAAACAACAGAGTTTTTAAAAGGATTTTCTGTGTTTACGAAAACAAAATGAAAAGAAGGAAGAGAAAATGAATATAGAAACATCATTAGAAGAACAAAAGGTTCAACATCTTCACAGGATCTTGAATCACTGCCTTCTTGGGTAGGAAGGAGAAAAAAAAGTTCTTTTTTTTTGTTTTTGAAAACGTATTGAAATATTACTTAACTACCGACATGTTTTGAAAAAACATTCTGCAGAAAAGCAAACAAGCGGCTATGGATTGGCGGAGTGGTAGAGGAGCGCGGGTTTGTTGAAGCCGTCCCACATCGAATGCGACAGAGAAGGAGAGCAGGTGAAGCGGTATTCAAAAAGGCGCGCCAGCGTCGTAGCAAATCATACCTTTCTCGGCCTTTTGGCTAAGATCAAGTGTAGTATCTGTTCTTATCAGTTTAATATCTGATACGTGGGCCATCGGCCCACATGATATTAAATTAATTTTTTAGGGGGAGGGTCCATCACAGTAGCTTGCTGCTGGGGCTCTCGCGCGTCGCCCTGGCGTTGCACTAAAGCCTGGGCCAGGCGCACCCACCAAAGCAAGTTAAAAATTTGGTCGAATTAGACTAAGCCTTCGTGGGCTCAACGGTATTATAGTTCCGTGGCGGGTATGCTGTTGCGCACAAGTGCTGCTTGAATGGAACGCGGAGAAAATGTAAAATTTCAATTTTAAAAAATAAAATAAATTAAAGTAAGATAAAAGATTTTAAAATTTGAACATAAGAAGGGGGAACTGTTGAACTCGTGATTTGTGCAACTGTTTCTATTAAAATTTTTTATAAACCTGAATGAAGTAAATTTACAAAAAACATTTTTATAAATTCGGTTGCATGAAGTACAGAAGTTTCAACGAAATTTTTTTAAAAATTGTGTAAAATTAGATAATTCCTCTTGTTTTTGTTCTGGAAGTCATCCCCGAACCAGAAATTTGAGCTAATCGTAACAATTTGAATGCAATTAAAACCGATTAATCTTTGTCGTCTAGTTATTCCGAGTCTCGTCCAGGCCTTTTATTTCAGATTCTTGCTATGATTTCAAGTAATTTGTTAAATTTTGTTGTTTAGTTATTCTCTATAGTGAACAGGTCAAGAAGAACTGGCCTGATTTCTTTCGAGTTTGACCGGAAAAGTGGGTTTTGGCTAGGTTTGTTTGTTTGACTTGGGCTAGTCCAAATGGTTCTAGGCTAGATAGAAAACCATTGGGTCTAGGCCATGGCCAGTGGGCTAGGCCTAGACTAGTAAATAAGAACTGGGCCAAAGCACTGGATCCAAATTTCGGATCTGGCCTAGTAAATAATTAAGTAATAAAATAAATAACAAAAAATATAAAATAAAACAAAAAGTAAGAAAATTGATTGGTTTAGTGACCTTTGGACCTGTTCTTGGCCAGTTTAAGGTATTGTTAGGAAGGGAATTGAATTGTCAACCCGGTTTATGGCCGGTTCAGGGTAAATCGACCAGTTCAATAGTGAATCGGGCGGTCCAATGATAAAGAAATTTAAAAAAAATAATAAGTCACCGATTCAGCTTATTTACGGCCGGTTCAAGGTAAATGTTGGCAGGTTCAGTGGATTTAAATCCGGTTCAATGACTTTTATGATTGGTTCAATGTATTTCAAGGCCAGTTTAGTGGGTTTAAGGGCAGTTCAGTGAGTTTTAAGGCCGGTTTAAGGGATTTAAAGCCGGTTTAATGGGTTTTATGACCAGTTTAGTGGATTTCTTGCCCGCTTCGGTAGTTTATCACTGGTTTAGTGGGTTTCATATACGGTTCAATGTGTAAGAGGTTTGGTTCAATATTGTTTTGATCGGTTTAAGACTTTAAAACTCCCGAAATGGTTTAAAACATGAAAATTAAGGATATGGTTGGATTTTTTAGAGTGATTTAGTTTTGAATTAATTTTGAGACAGATTACATTCTAAGATAATCATTTTGGTTATTTCTAAATTGATTGTTTGATTTTCAGGCAGCCGAACTGCCGAAGCTCA